TGAACTGACTTCTCTGTAATTAATCAGCCATAGAATATGACTGTCTGTGGCACAGTGAATGAATTTCCGGATGTCTGATGTCAAAACTGTTCAAAAGTATTCCAGTTTCTTTTGGAACCTGGCCATTGTACAGGTATGCTGCTATTCCCAGCTAGTGTGTTGAACAAAGAATATAATTTACTCTTTTGTTTCTTCTCTACCTAGATGTACTGTTGCTGTTGAACATTGACCCACTTGCAACACCAAGGAAGCTTAGCCACCAGTATGTCCAAGTATAAACTTGTTATGTTAAGACACGGGGAGGGTGCTTGGAATAAGGAGAACCGCTTTTGCAGCTGGGTGGACAAGAAACTTAACAGTGAAGGAATGGAGGAAGCTCGGAATTGTGGGAAGCAACTCAAGGAGCTAAACTTTGAGTTTGACCTTGTGTTCACATCCATCCTGAATCGGTCCATCCACACAGCCTGGCTGATCCTGGAGGAGCTGGGGCAGGAGTGGGTTCCTGTGGAAAGCTCCTGGCGTCTAAATGAGCGCCACTATGGAGCCTTGATTGGTCTCAATAGGGAACAAATGGCTTTGAATCATGGTGAAGAACAGGTGAGGATCTGGAGAAGAAGCTACAGTGTGACCCCACCTCCCATCGAGGAATCTCATCCTTACTATCTCGAGATCTACAATGACCGGAGGTATAAAACGTGTGACGTGCCTGTGGATCAGCTGCCAAGATGTGAAAGCTTAAAAGATGTTTTGGAGAGACTCCTTCCCTACTGGAATGAAAGGATTGCTCCAGAAGTATTAAGTGGCAAAACCATTCTGATATCTGCTCATGGAAATACCAGTAGAGCACTCCTGAAGCATCTGGAAGGTACCATCTTCATGCTTCTACTTAGAGATTGCTGTTATAGTTTGGACATAGCATCTAAGCTGATAATGCACCATTTACCTAAAAAACCAAACTCACTGCCATTGAGTTGATTCCAATTCATAGTGACCCACTTTTGTGTTTCTGAGGCAGT